TCAGGACTCATAGCTGTCCCCCAGCAGGCAGCCAGGAGGTTTTGGGAAACCACACTGTCCAGGAGCTGCAGAGGCAAAGAAGTCTCTGTTTCTGTAGCAGCCCAGAGAGAGACGACAGGGAGTGACCAGCTCGTGTACGTGGTGTGGAGAGGGGAGGACAGATTGGTGGATGCTTGGGGAAAGGACCCTCAGGGAGGGGACCTGGAGGACTATGCTTTGCCTGGGACTTCTGCGTCCTGGCATGGAAATCTCTGTCTGAATGGGAACCAGAGCCTGGCACTGGTGGGCGGATAGAGACCCACAGAGGTGGGGATGGGTTTCTGGTCACTGGAGGGCATGGTTTAAGGCCCAAGAAAGGCTGAGCTGGCCTGAAACAGTATGGGTGCGGGGTGTGATGGCTTAGATCTGACATGTCCCTCAGGGTCTCATGTATCCAGAGGAAGGGCTGTGGGGAAGCGATGGGATCGTGGGGCTGCCGCGCTCGTCTGCCGATGACTTCAGAACTGAACGTGCTGTGAGGAGGCGGGACTACTTGGAGGTGGTCACTGCTGTGACCTGGAGGACTGTGCGCTTCTCCTTGCCCCTGGTTCCTCCCTTCTCTTACCACTTCCTGGCCACCCTGAACTAAGCATCTTTGCTCTACCAGGCCCTTCTGCCATGTTGTTCCTACCTTGGAGCCTGCAACCCTAGACTGAATCCTCTGAAGCCTTGAGCCAAATTAACCCCCTCCGCTTGGAAGTTGTGGACCTTGGGCATTGTACCCTGGGTATGGGAGAGCTGATTACCACAGCAGACAAAAAGTCAAAGGCAGAGCCTGGCAGCCATAGCAGATTCAGGGTCATGCAGGCCGCAGGAGCCAGGAAAGCAAGACCTACAGAGTTGGCCTGGGTCGGGGGTCAAGGGAGGAGTGAGAGGGAAGTACCTCAGGTGGAATGGGACCAGGGACCAGCAGGACACAGTCACAGGAAGAGGGGTGATGTTCCACAGCCTCCCTCAACCAGAGGACCCCAGGGTGACTCAGGGCCCTCTCCCTTCCCCCACCACCATTCCCAGCCTTTCTCAGCCCTGCCAGCCATGAGCCCAGCACATCTCAGCCCCAATACTGCCCTCACCTTTGCCTCATTTCCTCTGCTTGGGTTTTTGCTTTTTGCTTTTTGGCAAAAAAAAAAAAAAAAAAAAAAAAAAACCACGAAAAACACACAATTGTAAGAGGAAGCCTGACATTCATTTAGCTCTTTCATAACATTTAAGGGAACTGAAATGAATTCTGTGTCCTATAATTAGGACTCTGGGCAGTTTTAGGAAGAAATAACCACATTTTCCCAAACCCCTTACAAAACTTCCTGGGAAAATGTGATGTGTTCTTTGGAAGGCAGCACCCTCCGTGTGGGCCTCAGCCTGGAGGTGTTGGAGCATCCTCTGGCGGACCTTCCAGCTGAGCTGTGAAGGTCGGACCCCCAGGGACATCCCGGACCCACTGTGAGCTGACAGTGGACGGGGTGGCACCTCCCCGACAGGACGGACCAGGTTTCGGGGAGGAGGCGGCAAAGGGCGGCTCTGCGGTGGTCTGCCTCGTGGTGTTCCACAGTAAATGCCGCTCTCATTTTACCCATCTCATCGGCAGAAAGGTTGTGACGCCAGTCCTAGCTGTGGGGTGGTGCTGGTGACTGGCAACGACTATTTAGCCAGGCAGTTTGCAGCCTGGAACCAGGTCAGCTTCTGCTGAGACAGCACAGAGGGGACTGGGGCCCAGGTCAGGCGGCTGCCAGTTGTGCCCAGTGCTGCCCCTTCTCCCCGGCTGCGAAGGACAGGGAGTGCCCAGAAGAATGGCAGAGGCGGAGGCAGGTGGCCAGAGCAGAGCCCAGCCCTCACAGGGCATCCCTGTCATTGTCATAACACACAATGTCCCTGGCTGCCACCACTTTGCGGCCACTGTGAGGACCACGTGGACAGTCTCTTCCCTTCTGTTCTCAGGGAGGAGATAGCCTTGCGGGGCTGCAGGCAGTCCTTGGGGTGTGGGAGCAGGGAGGGCAGCCAGACATCCGGGTTCTGACCTGGCCTGGAGGGAGCTGGGATGACGCACATCCTCTCTGGAACTCGGACCATCACGGAAAGTACAGCCAGGACTCAAGGCACACATGTGTGCAGGTGCGAGTGCATGACAGTGTCGTGTGTGTGCTCACAAGCATATGGTGGAGCTTGTGCATACTGTACGTGTGCTCATGAGTATGAGTATAAGCACATGACCACACATGCATACACAACTGTGGGTGAGACAGCGTGTCCCTGTGTTCATGTGTACACACAGGTGTGCGAGTGTGTGCTAGAGTATTACGTGTGTGCATGTAGGCATGAGTTGTGTGTGATAGTTTGTGCGTGCGAGTGTGTGAGTGTGGTGGCAGAGCCTGTGCATCACAGACGTGTGCATGAACACGATAGCGTGTGTATTCGTGTATGCACACGGGTGAGCAGGCATTGTATTGGGGTGTGTGTGAGTGTGTGCAGCTATGGAGTGAGCCCCCGAAGCCTGGGAAAGTGAGTGTGAGACACGCTGGTTTGTGGATGGTAGGCCTTTGCCGAGGTGTCTTCACCCTGCGGCTCCAGGCTCGCGGGCAGGTGGCTGAGCCCACTGTGCCTGGTACTGGCGGTGGGGGGCTGCAGAGCCCTGTGCATGGGGCTGATCCTCCCGCAGACTCCAGGTCTGCTTGGTCGCTCAGTCCATGGTCCTTTGCCTCTCCGATCTCGAGGTGCAGGCTGACGCACCTCTGGAGCAGCCCTGGACACCCCCGGGAGCACTGGCTCCAGCTCACCCCTCTCCTCTAGGCTCATTCACATCAGCCTCGAGGCGGCCAGCGAGTGCCAGCCAGCCGCATCCCGGGAGCTGGCCCTTCCCGTGGCATCTGACTGTTCCCGCCACCAGTGACCTTGTGGCACTCAGCAGGACTTTCTGCACATGTCTGTGGAGGATCCCAGCTCCTCAGGAGAGAGGAGCACAGCCTGCCCACAGCAGGCCGAGGACCTGCACAGGCTGCGGGCACCTTGGAGGCCCTGCCCTGAACATCATCTTCTTGGTGAGTAACAGTGGGCCTCACACTTGATCTCCAGGGACTTCAAGGGCAGCCACATATGCACACCTAGACACATTCCTACAGGCACACACTCAAGTGTGCACACACACACTTGTACACCCAACACACGGACACAGACACACACATAACGTATCATGAATACATACCAGACACATATAGGCTGGGCAATGAGTATATTCACATGCATAAACACGTGCACACAGAAGCATGCACCCATGCATTTGACACAGAACTGCATTGATATATATGCATATGTACACACATGACATATCCCCATACATACACATACACACATGTACACACCAGCAGTACCCACACACACAGAGCCAGAGGCACATGGACACACGTATCCACAGACACTTAGATACACACCTCCCCCGCCTGAGCGGAGCTCGTCCGTACCACATGCCTGCATGGGCTGCCCTACCCTGACCGAGCCCCGCCTCCCTCCCTCCTCACCTTGGCAAGCAGGCAGGTCTCCCCAACACAAGATGCTCTCTGCGTGTTAGATTCACTGCAGGACTCATCCACGCCACATGACGTCAGTGTGTAAGGATTCGTCTGCTGATGCCTGCCCCATGCTACTGGGGGCGAGGACCACCCTGGACCTGGGGGGATATGAGGGTCACAGCCGTGTGGTCTCGGGCGTGGGCCTTCCCGGGGTACCAGCCAGGCTCCAGGGTGTGGCTGCTTCCCCCACTGACTTGGCTGTGATTTTAGACAACTGCTCAGTCTCCCTGCCTCTCTTTCTTACTGGAAAATAGAAATTCATTCTATGCTTTTTCATTCCACAGATATGCATAAAGCACCCGGGTGGCCGGGGCGCTGGGGGGAGCCTGTCTTTCGGGGCCTCTGGCACTCATGCGGGTGGAAGGGAAGCTGAAGGGGGTGCCGGTCCTCAGGAAGTGTTCAGCAGGGATGGGAGGTGCAGGGTGAGGGAGGCAGCAGGAGGACACCTCGGCTCCCAGGCCCATGCCGTGTCTTCCAAGCTGGGAGGGAGGAGAGGCCCTGTGTGTGGATGCTTGTGAAGGGCTTCCAGGAGCGTGGTAAGTGCAAAGGCCCCCGAGTAGAACCTCGGACAGCAAGGAGGCCCTTGCGGCAGATGAAGGGACCAGAGCCTGGAGGTTGTTCGTTGTTCTGTGGTCACACTGAGGGCCTTGAGGGTGACCTGGGACGGTCCCTAGGGTCCCAGCCAGAGATGCTCGCACTGCTCAGGAGTCATGGGGAGCAGCTGGCCTTGGGAGCAGAGGAGTAGCTGGGTTTGAGGGTGCGGGGTGGCAAATGGGTGGTGGATCGGGAAGGCGGGGCCTCGGGAGAGGTCTGGTCAGAGCAGGGAGAGGGAGCCGTCAGCGCGTAGGTGGTGTTTAACGTCACGGCAGCAGTGAGATGGGCCAAGGATAATAACAGCCTGTCCTGAGGTTGTGAGAGTCAGACAGGCTGATCCAGGGCTGCTTGGCACATAATAAGCACTAGGGCTGTGAGCTCAAACAAACAAACAAACACACATAGCCATCTGGCAGTCTCCTGGGGAACCTCACTCCCCCTGGGAGGAAGCTGGTGGCATCCAGTTAGAAGGTTCTGGGCCCAGGCCAGCTTGGAGGCCCCAGAGGTGAGCTCAGGATGCCGCAGGCTCCTCTACCTCGTGGGTGGCCAGGCTGGGCGAAGGATCCGCAGCAGCTCAAGAAGGCCATGTGGGAAGAGGGGCAGCCGCCTAGGCCGCCCAGGGCTGCAGGTGTGCATGATGAGCACCCGGGCACAGGGCCCCGGCTCCGGCGGGGCAGGGACAGCGGGCTCGGCTGAGGAAGGTGCCCGCGTGGGGTGGTGTGAGCAGAGACACAGTGGTGTGGGGCCGCAGAGGGGAGGGGGCAGTGTGCGGGCATCGCCCTGACAGCAGCGTCCAATCCCAGCAGGTCGCATTGGCCCGCAGGAGCCTACTTGAGAGCCTGCAGGCCAGGGGCGCCCCGCAGGCAGGGCTCGTCCTGTGATGGGTGTGTCTGGAGATGTCCCCAGCTGCACAGCTGGTGGTGACAGTGACCCAGGAAGCCACCAGGAGGTCCCAGCACATGGCACCGAGGACAGGAGACTTGCACAGGCCCAGGCGGGCACAGTGGATGAACTGGGAGCAAGAGAAGTGGTGGCAGCTAATGCTGGGCTGGGTGTGGACACCTGCTCCCGTCCCGGGGCCCCGGTTCTCACTTCGTCCAGCAGACTGGTCTGCAGGGCCATGCCCAGCATTGGCTGCACCTTCAGGAGCTAGGGGTAAGTGGCACGCATTTGCGCATGCACATGTGCATGCATCTCTAGCCCTTCTTTATGAATGAATGGTGACCATGCCTGGCTATCCTTATACCCCAGGGTGCAGAAGTCTGGAGCACATGACCAGGACGAGCATTTGACTCCTAGGCCCGCACGCCTGTCTCCCTTTGCACATTTGCTGAGCACAAACCCTTGCAGACTCCAGCTCCCAGTGTCCTGATCTGTATATCAGGCTCCTCCAATAAAGCACGGGTGCCAGCCCGGATGGACACAGAGTCTGGGTGCACATGTGGTGTGGACACACACACCCAAGGTGGGCTGTGGACCCCCACATTACAGGGGCATTGAGCAGTGTTAGCCAGTGCTTGTCTGCACTGTGCTCTTTTCGTACTGATGGCGTGTCCCTGGCAGGCTCAGCCCTCTCTGGTGTATAGAGGGCGCCTTTCCTGGGTGTCCTGCCTCGTGGCTAATGCAGGAAGGACGGGTTGCCCAGCCACACATGCCGGGGAATGGTCCTCGCCAGCCATGGGGCAGGTGTTCATGGAGCACTTCTCTGGCCGGCTGCTTGCCCCATGTTGCAGCCCAAGGGCCCAGTACACGATCCCTGTCCTCCAGGGGCCCTGGGCCGGCTGCTAACAAGCCAGACCCGCATGAGGAGCTTGTCAGTGAAGGCTGGGTTGGCAGGACATGCCCCAAAGATGCCTGCAACCTGGGCCTCAGAACCACAGAGTGGGTGGTGAATGGAGCAGGGGGCTCACAGAGTCCGGGGTCTTGAGACCAAACACTCTTCCAGCTTTTCCTGGAGACCCAGGTCATCACGAGTTTCCTGTGTGAGAGCCACAGGTCAGAGTCAAAGCGGGACCGGGAGGTGCTTCACTGTGGGCTTCCAGGACGGAGGATGCAAGTGTGGCAGCCTCATCACAGTGGGAAGTCCAGGGCCCTGGCAGGGGCTGGGGGAGGCGGGGCTGTCCCGGGTCCAGGGGACTGGCACCCACAGCTTCCGATCCTCAGCAGTGGCCCAGGGCCCATGAGAGTGCACAAGTGAGACCTGCTGTCCCCGGCCATGTGAGCTCCAAATGCTAATGTAGCCATCGCTCTCGGCCCAGGAGACCCAGGCAAGCTGTCCGCATCTCACCCAGCGATAAGCGGGAGGGACGGTTCCCCCTGCAGGACACGGGGACGGTTAGGACTAACTCTGAGGTTTAGCAGCGGATTACTCCTTGAGTAAAGAATGAACACAGTCACCCATTTACACACTAACAGGAGTTTCAAAATTACCCTAGGCAAGAGTTAAAGACACCAACCAGGCACGACCTGGTCCTCCTGTCTACAGCGTCTGTGTGTCCGGGGGCCACATGGCTCTGAATGCATCCTCCCCATGCTGGCCCTGGGGTGCTGGCTAGCTCCGCTTTCTCATCTGCTAAATGGTTATGCATGTAAAATTCACAGATATCTCTTGGTACCCATAAAAGAGATTTCTAAATGAGAGTGGTTCCTCTTCCCTTATTTCTGAATTTACCTCCTCGGTTGTGAGAAAGCAGTCTCCTGCTGCCCAGAATCTGATGTATGAAACGCCAGGGCCCTTGCATGCGCGTCCCTTGAGGGTGACTCGGGCACAGCACCTGGCACTGGGGCTGGCGTGACATGGGGGGACAGGGCCTCCGCACCTCCCTCTCTGCTTCCCAGCCAGCTTCTTCCCAGCAGTGCTAGCTCTGCCCACAGGCAGAGCCGGGTGGGGGTGAAGCTCCTCAGACGTTTCTGCTCTGTCTCCGCTGCCTGCAGCCTCCAGCCAGGCACTTCTGGGGCTCCCCGTGCCCGGGGTGCTGATCCCGGGACTCAGGTGCACGCCTGCACCCAGCCTTTCACTTCCCCTCAAACTCAGCCTCTCTTAAGGGCCTTGCCCTTTCTCTCTCAAGAGCATTTTAACACATTTTTGAAAAATAACAGAATGGTTTAAAAAAAGCCCGCATTTTCACGCAGGGTTTCTTCTCACTGAGTCACGCTTCATCTTTTCCCTCGGAAAGGCGGAGGCGAGGGTTAATTTCAGACAGCTGGGACAGGGACGTCATGTTGCACACGGCCACCGAAGACAGAGAGGAGAGGCGCCTGCCTCAGAAGGCTCCGAATGGAGGCGTCCGGAGGGCGAAGAGCAAGGACCAGAAGTCGGCTGGCCGGGAGCCGAGGAGATGCTGGGTGGCGACCCAAGCACTCCCCGGGTAGAGCCTGGTACCCAGCCAGGCCACTGCTGGCAGAAGTTATTACAGACCTTACATTTAAAAAAAAAATGGCACTTACTTTACTTTAAAATTAAAAATCACTTATTGTCATGACTACTCTCATGTGACCATGAGTTCAGCCTGGACAGCAATGTAGTCACCACCTGGCAAGCTGGGGGGTCTCCAGGTGTCCTGTCTGAGCCCCACGCAACACCCCCCAAGCCATTAGCTTGCTTTCCTGGGCTGGGAGCCTGGAAACCTGGGGTCACTTCCCTGGGGTCCTGGGGGAACAAAGCAGAAGAGACTTGGGGTGACCCCAGGTGAGCCAGGGCGGGGCCCCTGCTACTGTGCTGAGCCTCTACGTCCCGGGTCCAGGCCCGGGCCCAGGCCCAAGACAGCGCAGGAGGCAGAGCGGATACGGGGTTGCTCAGCCCCATGCGTCCCCTCGCCTGCACGGTCCCTGCGGCGGCACCCAGATCCTCAGGGATCTCGTACACAAACCTTTCTTTCTTCCCAGCTAGCGTGGCCACTGGTGCACTAGGAATGCTGTGGGCCCTGGGCACATGGTGATTGTGACCCCACGCTCACATTTCCAGAGCAGACGTGGGTGAGCTCTTGGTAGAAGGCGAACGGCATCAGTAGATGTCCATGTGCCCAGGCTTTTATTATCACTGTTTAAAAGGTCTGTTTTGTTCTTATTCTTTAAGTATTCTAAAACGTGTTTAAAGGGACCCTAACCCGGCGGACACTGCACATTGTCAAAGGTGATCAGAGCCACAGGCGCTGCTGCAGAGGAGCCACAGGGATGCGCCAGCCTCCGGCCACTTCCCCTGGTCAGTGCCCGGCCCCTCAGGAGTCGCCTGCACTGTCCAGTCAACTCGTGCCCAGTCTCAGCGACAGTGTCTCGCAGCACCTCCTGGGCCACAGCTCCCATCCCTTAAGACTTGATTTTGTTTCTCCGCACAAAGCCGCTACCCGCCGGAAGTCAGCGCACCCTTAGGAAGAGGCGTTTCGGTTGACAGGGACAGGAGGAGGCTGGCTGGAAGGACTGCTGCGCTGGTGGCGGGCTTCTCAAAGCCAGCGTCACTCACTGTGTTTTCCTTTGCTGTGACTGAAACATGGGAAGGAACTGGCATTTCTAGTTTTGCGTATTTATAGTGAAACCAAAGCCATTAAGTTTCCCCCTGCCTGAACTCAGATAGGGAGGGCCCGTGGACAGGACTCACCTAGGAGCGAGGTCTCTCCACAGTCTGCCTTGCCCTGAGCTGAGAAGGGCAGGGACTCGGAGCAGAGACGCAGGGGACACGCTGGTGGCCTGGGCGCTGAGGCTGTGACACACACACCTCTGGAAAGCTACGTTCAAATCACAGTCCTCAAGTTTAGTTGCGCAGAAACATGGAAGATCATTTTTGCCTGGATTCTGGAGGAAACCAGGGGCAAACCTGATATGATTAACTGAAATGAATGTGAGGATAGCTGGGTTCCAGATACTTTCTTTTGCAAGCACAGTACACTTTCGTGGTGTGCAGTGGCGCCTGGTGCCAGGGACACGTGGGGGACAAAAACAGTGACCGTGGACCCCTAGGAAGTGAGGTGCAACCAGAAAACCATTCCAATGTCCTGGGGAAGGGAATGAAGCCCAAAGCTTAGGCAGATCTGTGCATCACTTTCCAGAGAGCCTGGGTCTTGGGAGGACCCAGGCATCACTTTCTGGGGAGCCAAAGCTCACGCCTTCCTCTGTGGCCTCATTATCAGAGCGTGACCGTGAGTCAGCCCATTTCCGGTGCGCTGGGCTTGTTGGCCCAGGCTGCCCTGTGTCCCTGGGGGAGATGGCCCCACTCAGCCACCTGGGGGGCTGTGCTCACGCCTCAGCATCCCGAGAGGGGTCGCCCCGTTTCTGATTTCTGAGGCTGCACAAGCCCACCGTGATGTGTCTGCCGAGCACACCCACTGCAGCTGACAGCGTTCGGAGGATGAACCCATTGTGTGAGTGATTGAGTTTCACATTGTTTTGTCAGCTCCCAGGCAAATGGGCAGATCCATTTGGAACTTGTTTTCCTTTGTTGTTGTTTAATAAAGCAGCAATCATATACCATGTGAGATAATGGATGGCTGAATGCAGACTTGAATTATTTTATTTTATGGAGTCTTAATTAGATTTGTAATGCAGAGCTCCTAAATACCAAATGTTTGCTTAGATTTAATGAGACCTGTTACGGGAGCGAGAGAATTGTAATTGTCCCATTAACACAACAATGATACATATTGCAAAGTTTGGCGTATATCAAGTTATAAAAGACGTTCTTGACACTGCAGGGCTTCGTTCCTTCTCTGCCTTTCCCTTGCTGCGCTCTGATTTGTGTTTTCCTTGCTGGAGTCCCAAGAAGCTTCGTTCACCTTTTCAAGTTTCGGATTAAAGTTTAATGTTTTATTGTCCAGGCTAAGCTGAGGCCTGGTGGCAGCTGGGCTGCTGTGGGCACACAGGAGGCCCTGGCTCCGAATCCTGAGCCCTGGTCATCTCTCCCCTTCCCCGGGCACCTTCCCTGGCAGCTGTGCATCCCTGGAACAGACACTTGCAGTCAAACCCACTTTTGAGGCGAGATTTCAATGTTTATCTCCATTAGCACACGTCTGCAGCACCTCATGACTGCATTCCCTGTGGGGTCGGGGTGCACAGAGCACAGCTTCGTTCCTTTTATCCCTTCCCCGCACTGTCTCTTGGTCCCTTCCCATTTGCAAAAGGCCCCCCCCTCTTCCCTCTCATCTACCTTTAAACTTTAGGCTTCTCGTGTAGGAGAAGTTGTGATGCACAAGCCTAAATATCGAGGTGGGTCTTGTGGTTTTGTGCTGGGCGTGGGTGCGGCTTGCCCCACGGGGATGTGAGCCCTGGTTCCCCCACAGCATCATCTTGGCCCGGGCGGGCTCTGACAGGACAATGCCCGGCCTGTTCATTCGGTAGTGCAGACCAGGCCGCGTGCAGGGGTGGGGTAAAGGTGTGGTGGCAGCAGCACCCCCGCCTGCAGCAAACCCACCCTTCAGGTTGCAAGGC